TAAGAGATAAACAACTGACATTTAGAAGACATCTGAAGGCAGCCCTGTTCAGGGAAGTTTTTAATGTGTGACATTTTAAATGTATTTTTAATCTTTGTGGGAAGCCGCCCAGAGTGGCTGGGGAGACCCAGCCAGATGGGCAGACAGGGCACAAATTATTTATTTATTTATTATTATTATTATTATTATTATTATTATTATTATTATTATTATTCCAGTGCCATAATCTGGCATTCCCACCTCGTCCTGATGCCCCGGTTGCTAACAAACACTCAGAATCCCCATTTCCCTCCGAGGTCCCTGGATGTGGTCTGAAGGAGGCACATAAGCACATATACGGAGAGCCCTAAACCTGGATCAGGCCAAAGGGGGACTCCCCACCCCACCCCTCAAGTCCAGCATAATCTATTTTCACAATGAGTCATGACATACACGGTGGAATAGGAATGTATGTGGAAAGGAGTAAATACACGAAAATATGTGCCAATAAAGGCTGATTGCCGAAGAATTGATCCTTTTGAATTATGGTGCTGGAGGAGACTCTTGAGAGTCCCATGGACTGCAAGAAGAACAAACCTCTCCATTCTGAAGGAAATCAGCCCTGAGTGCTCACTGGAAGGACAAATCCTGAAGCTGAGGCTCCAATACTTTGGCCACCTCATGAGAAGAGAAGACTCCCTGGAAAAGACCCTGATGGTGGGAAAGATGGAGGGCACAAGGAGAAGGGGACAACAGAGGACGAGATGGTGGGACAGTGTTATCGAAGCTACAAACATGAGTCTGACCAAACTGCGGGAGGCAGTGGAAGACAGGAGTGCCTGGCGTGCTCTGGTCCAGTGGGTCATGAAGAGTCGGTCACGACTGAACAACAGCACTTAGTTGAGACAGGCACCCCGAGGCAAAGGTCACCACAATTAATTGTCTGTTCTTTTCACCTCTGTGGTTGGACCGACCAGCCTAGGATTCAGGAAGCTAAACTGCAGATTTTTTTCTTTTTTATGTACCACTGAAATAAATAAGGCAGCTGACCCAACTGCAAAACTGTGTGAACCTATAATTAATTATATGAAAGCAATAGGAGGCCTAATTTGATTTACGCAGTTGCTGTGGTCTGCTGTGGTAGTTAGAGCTCTCAACCAGCTGTCGTGAGTGTGTGGGCAGTGGCAGTGGGGGGTGGAGGTGGGGCACCCACAGCAAGAATTTTGTGGGACCCCAGGGCTCCCTGACTCCCTGGAAATGGTGCCAATGCTTGCTGGCGGACCTGATTCAATTACTGAAATAAGAAGGGAGAATAAGGATAATGGCATCCTGGTAAATTAATCCGCTCTGGTTATACAGTTCAGCACATTCCAAAATGCGTGTGTGCATGCGAAGTTTGTTTTTTCCTACTGAAGCCAAAACTCTAGGTTGGGCAAGTGGCCAAGGAAGTCTGTTGCTGCTGCTGCTGCTGTTGCTGCTGCTCTATACGCTTTGCTTGCTTTCTGCTCCCCCCCTGCCCCCTTGCTCATGCTGAACCCCGTGCTGGGGATTTCCAGACCTGCCCTGGGTGAGTCTTGAGTTGTCTGGCTGGGGACTTTCCCTGCAGCTGAGCTTTGGTCCCTGCCAATCACAGGCTCCGAGGCTGCCTGGTCATCAGTTGCTAGGTAGGGAAGGTGTCACTTTTGCAAAAACCCAACACTTGTCACCATCCTCGCTGAACAGCCCAGGCTGCTGCGAGAGAGGAGAAGCCTTTCTCTGGGCAAATGACGGCAGAGGGTGCAAAGCAGGCTGGGAAAGATTAGGTCACACACACACACACACACACGCACACACAGAGAGAGAGCACTTTCCCTCAACTCTGCTTCTCTGGATCAGTCCTTGTCAAACTTCTGACTTTGGGGGATTAACCTTTCTGCTGCTGTGCACCTTCTGTCGAATCTCAGGTGTTCTCCAGCCTTTCCACAGATGGGAACAGGGAGATTTTGCCATGCTCTTCCCAAGGATGACGGCGCAAGGATTTCTTCTCGCTCACTGACAATGCTAGACCAGTGCGACCAAACCAGTTGTGGTCCCCCAATTCTGCCTCTGGTGAGGACAGTTTTCACTGGGGAGCTTTGGCCAACCACATCAGCCATGGGACCCTGTGCAGCCCCTATGCAGCTGAGCAGATAGACTCTCATGCAACTCAGGAGAGAGAGACAACTAACCCTTCCTGGGCCAGAGTCATCATAAGGGTCTGTGTTCTGCCCCTGATATTGCCTACACAATTTAGCATCCTAAATCATTTAATCTTTCGGGAAGCTTTTAATGTTTGATGTATTATAGTATTTTAATATTCTTTTGGAAGCCGCCCAGAGTGGCTGGGGAAGCCCAGCCAGATGGGCGGGGTATAAATAATAATAATAATAATAATAAATAATAATAATAATAATAATAATAATAATAATCTTCCATGAGAGAAAATCATACACTTATGTCCCTGCGAAGGTGGCATCAGGCTTCCAAAGGTAGAAAACACGCTTACTAAAATCAGAGCAGTCGGGGGGGGGGGAACCACTGAGTGGGTGGGAACAGGAGGACTCCAAGGCCCCTCAGAGGTCCTAAAAAAACCCCCACCCCATGGCAAGCAGAAGCATTTCTTAAAAGTTCTTACTGTCAGAAAGTTTTCCTGAATGTTTAGTCGGAATCTCCTTTCTTGCAACTTGAAGCCGTTGGTTTGAGTCCTACCCTGCAAAGCAGGAGAAAACAAGCTTGCTTCATCCTCCATGTGACAACCTTTGAGATATTTGAAGATGGCTCTCGTTATCTCCTCTCAGTCTCCTCTTTCCCAGGCTAAACATCCCCAGCTCCTTCAACTGATCCTCATAAGGCTTGGTTTCCAGACCCTTGACCATTTTGGTTGCCCTCCTCTGCACACCTTCCAGCTTGTCAGCGTCTTTCTTAAATTGTGGTGCCCAGAACTGGACACCGTATTTCAGGTGTGGTCTGAACAAGATAGAATAGAGTGGTATTACTACTTCCCTTGATCTGGACATTAGACCTCTGTTGATGTAGCCTAGAATAGTGTTAGCTTTTTTTTGCTGCTGCATCACCCTGTGGACTCATGTTCAGCTTGTGATTCACCAAGACCCCTAGTTCCTAAAAAGGGTTTAAAGATAGATGGATAGATGGATAATTTATTATGGTTGGAGACCAGCTTATAAAACACACTTGGGGGTACAGTCACAGAAGGAATACAAACAATTAAAACAACGTACAACAATAAATTTAAAATTTATAAATGCGATAATCGTATAGGCACTTGAAACTTTAAGATAAACTACTGCAGGACGCTGACTCAGATTCACCCATGGAACCGAGTTTGGGGATTTTCTTAATGAACTAGTTTTGAGTCGGGAGATGGTCTGCGCCTACAGAAGGGTTTAAATAAATCATAGAATCATAGAGTTGGAAGAGACCACAAGGGCCATCAAGTCCAACCCCCTGCCAAGCAGGAAACACCATCAGAGCACTCCTGGCATATGGTTGTCAAGCCTCTGCTTAAAGACCTCCAAAGTAGGAGACTCCACCACACTCCTTGGCAGCAAATTCCACTGTCAAACAGCTCTTACTGTCAGGAAGTTCTTCCTAATGTTTAGGTGGAATCTTCTTTCTTGTAGTTTGGATCCATTGCTCCGTGTCCGCTTCTCTGGAGCAGCAGAAAACAACCTTTCTCCCTCCTCTATATGACATCCTTTTATATATTTGAACATGGCTATCATATCACCCCTTAACCTCCTCTTCTCCAGGCTAAACATGCCCAGCTCCCTTAGCCGTTCCTCATAAGGCATCGTTTCCAGGCCTTTGACCATTTTGGTTGCCCTCCTCTGGACACGTTCCAGTTTGTCAGTGTCCTTCTTGAACTGTGGTGCCCAGAACTGGACACAGTACTCCAGGTGAGGTCTGACCAGAGCAGAATACAGTGGCACTATTACTTCCCTTGATCTAGATGCTATACTCCTATTGATGCAGCCCAGAATTGCATTGGCTTTTTAGCTGCCGCGTCACACTGTTGGCTCATGTCAAGTTTGTGGTCAACCAAGACTCCTAGATCCTTTTCACATGTACTGCTCTCAAGCCAGGTGTCCCCCATCTTGTATTTGTGCCTCTCATTTTTTTTGCCCAAGTGCAATACTTTACATTTCTCCCTGTTAAAATTCATCTTGTTTGTTTTGGCCCAGTTCTCTAATCTGTCAAGGTTGTTTTAAAGTGTGATCCTGTCCTCTGGGGTGTTAGCCACCCCTCCCAGTTTGGTGTCATCTGCAAATTTGATCAGGATGCCCTTGAGTCCATCATCCAAGTCGTTGATAAAGATGTTGAATAAGACCGGGCCCAAGACAGAACCCTGTGGCACCCCACTAGTCACTCTTCTCCAGGATGAAGAGGAACCATTGATGAGCACCCTTTGGGTTCGGTCAGTCAGCCAGTTACAAATCCACTGAGTGCTTCACTTGTCCATCCTGAATAACCAAATGAATAACCAAAGGTGCAAAAACTGTCAGAACCTGCGTTCGACCGGGCTCCTCCGGAATCGCCTCCGACGTGATTAACGACCTGAGCCTCTGATAAGGCTCCAGACAGATTCCCATTACGCAGAGTTTCAAAGCAGCAGAAGTGATGAGAAGTTTGAGCTACATTGCTAGGTTTTGTTTTCTAGGCTACGCAGACAGAAAAGAAATACATCCTCTCTCTGTGAGAGACAGAGAGCAACTGAAAAACAAAGGAACAGGAAACCAGTAACATCACATCCGTCTCCTGTCTTCCGTGAGACTTCCAACAGCCTGGAATCTCTGGAATGTAAACAGAGTCCTGTGACTCCAAGAGCACTGCACAGTGGCAACACACAGAAACCAAGAAAAACCACCTTTTCACAGGTGAAGTTGTGTGGAAATGGGCAGATTTCCCCCCCTCCAGGATGGACACGTGACGCACTCTGTGAATATTGACCTTTAATTGAAGGAAACAGTTCAAAGACAACAGAGGGAGGTTGAGGACAATCTTTATTGGTGCAGCTCAGAGCAAGTCATCCCAAGGCTTAACATCGTTATCACCACAAAATAGCTGAATCTTTACAGAGCAATTAAGAAACCACCAGCTCAGTGGAGACAAAAGCATCAGGGAAAAGGAGGAAATGGGCTGTCCCTGGAAATGGACTCATGTTGAGAGGGAGGGGGGGAAGAGAGATTGAGGAGGAATAATAGGGGTGTGCACATTTAATTTATTGCTATATTGGGGGGCCGGCACCCCTAAATTCCTGGAACCAGTAATGGGTTGAATCAAGGTCTCCGAATCTCCAGATCTGGCAGGGATTCAAAAGCTGGAATACTGATAATGGCTGCTAAGAATGAGCCATGGAGAAAGTGGGAGGAGCCCCACCCTGAGGTCCAAATTAGTGAGCAGGGACAAGAGTTTTGGGGATTTCAGTTGCTGTGGCCTGATTTGGGGGGGGAGGTTTCAGTCTGTCAGCAGCAAGCTGGAAGGAGAGTCTCGGAACATGGCTGGTGTCTGTTTGAATCCAAAGCTGCTTTGGCTAGGGACCTCTTGGGGTTTTGATGCTGTGAGCCCATCATATATATGTATCAATAAACCATATAACCTAAGGACACCAGAGTTTTCGCTGCTCCTCATTTCCTGGACCCCTGGAACCTCACACCACTCAAAGATTGGGGTGGGGTGTATCAATAGTTGGGTAATGCCCACTTGGATCACGAGAAAGTTGTTGGGACTAATTTGCAACAAGGGGGGACGGGTCTTTGACTTCTATTTTGGAAGCAGGTCCTTCCGAGAAGGGGCTTGCTGAAAGTGAGTCAATGTTTATGAGGAGGAAAACTTACAGGGAAATTCTGTGAGCTCCAGATCCTATCACGTGCCTTTCCAGGAAAGCATGCATTGCTAGTCTGACTGCATTTTAAGTATCGTACACGGAAGGGCTTGGAGTGTAGAAGGTTCAGTCCCCGGCACGTTCAAGAAGGGCTAGAAAGACTCGCCCTCTGAAACATCAGTTGAGCCACTGCCAGTCAGTGTGGGCATATGGGACCAGAAATGCTGTTGAACCAGATGGACTCGGTCTAAGGCAGTTTCCAGTGACCCTGTGTTCCCAGGTCACCCAAGGGGCAGCTGGGAGGGGGGAGCCATCTTAGTCCACAGCAAGAAGAGCAGCAAAGGAATTGGGTGTGGGGAACCTTCTCCAGCCCAAGGGCCACGTTCTCTTCTGGGGAACTTTCTGGGGGGCCACACACCATTGGTGGGCAGGAGCAGAGCATCAAAGGCAAGTGTGAAGTTTTCACAGGAGACCAGTCTCTGCACCAGCTCACCCCCCCTCCTCTCCATCCTCCGTCAAGGCAAGCAAGAAACAAGAGTCTGAAGGAAGGGGCAACACAAGGCTGTGGAGAGTCCCAGGGGCCACATGTAGAGGTTTGGGAGGCCACATGTGACCCCTCCCCAATTCAGTTGTGAGGCTCCCCATCAGGGCTTGAAGGACCAGTCCTGACACTCTGACCAGATTCATGGTTGTTTTCAGGGACAGCTCAGGCTCCTCCAGGGAGATTCAAGGCACAAATTCTCTAGCAGAGAGGTGCAAAAAGAAGTAATCAGGCTGCGATAACTTGTAATCAACAAGGGGAAAGAGAAAGACAAAAAGAAACTTTCCGCAAATGACAAGCAAGCAACAGAGGTGGGGGAGGGGTGGACACTGTCGTTCTTGTTCTGTGACTCCTTCCATCCACCTTCCAAGGAGGTTTCCACCCTCTGAGCATGGACAGAGGGCAACTGGCAGGAAGAACAGAGCTTCTCCACATCCCCAGATCCTGATGGAGCAGCAAAGTCTAACTGATGAGTCCTGCAGGCAGAGAAGAGAGAGACAAGCCCATCACTGTGGGGTGAGGAATGGGGAGAAAGGGGTCAGAAGAATCCCTGGCAAGATTGGGGGGACACTCCATAGAGCGGCCATCAGATATTGTGAACTACAATTCCCATCGCCTCCAGTTATGGGCCTGGCAGGGGGTGCTCTGAGGAGGGAAGGAGACAGAGGGAGGGAGACTTGGTTGGCTTTGGCAATGGAGAAGAGGAGCTTCAGAAGAGACCAAGGAGATCTCTCCAGATCAGAAATGGGGAACCACAGACCCTGGAGCAAATGTGGCCCCCAGGCCTCTCTTTCTGGCTCTCATGGCACTCTCCAGACACTCTTCCTGTCCCCGCTTTGAACCCTCCAGGAGTGATTCCACCTCCCTTGAACTCTGAGGATGCCCCTTGCTTGCCTGAACCAAGAACGGAATGGGGCAGAAACTAGTCCACTCAGCAATACGGAAATTGTGGTCCCTGGAAGGAGGGGATGCAGCCCTTGGGGCGAAAGAGGACGCCCCCCCCCCCGGAATGGATGCCCTGCAATGGGCAGAAGAGCTTTGTCCCCAAGGGCCAAACAGCAGCCCTGGTCTCCTCACCTGGCCTTGAACTTTGCTTGACTGTCTCCCAGGTGGGAAATTCCCTTGGAGACCCCCTTCCAGGACATGATATTGGGGTGTGTGCATCAGGGGGTGGATTGATCCATAGAAAGCCCCTCCCCTCTGTTCTACAAGGAAGCCATGGCGGGGGCACAGCAAGCAGCCAGGAGAAGGGGGTTGGGGGAGGAGGAGGAGGATGGAAGAGCAGAGAGGAAAGTTACCTGCAGGCTGAGGAACAGCTTGCCCTGGGAGAGAGAGAAAAGAATGGAAAGATTCAGTCAGCACCAGATATCCCCTGAAATAGCTTCTCTGGGAACACCCTCCCCCCCCCCAAGATCAAGATGACACACTCCTGGCACAGCTAGGAGCTTTCCCCTTCTCATTCTGTCCTAAGGAGTATGAGGGGTGAAAGAAGAGCCTTTGTAGAAAATAAATATTTTCTTTCCAATACAAAAAGGACCCTGGGGAACATCTTGCCAACTAATCTCTTTCCCATTACCCAATGCCCCCACCCCACAAACCCTCCCATATTCCCTTAGCTGCCTTCTTTGGGGCTCTGCATTGCCCAGTTGTTGATTTATTTCAGAGACACAAACAGTGAAAAGACCCAAGGGAGATGAATTCCCCCTCCTGACTGTAAGTGTCTCAAAGGCCCTTCGCTCAGCAGGGAGAGAGAGCCTTTGACTTACTGCTGGGACCAGGAAGTCAGACTCTTAAGAGATCCTGCAGGTAATTCTAGCCCTGGAACCGTTTATGTGATAAAATGATACGCTATTCATAAAATAAAATTTCCTATTTACTAGATAAGCAAGGGTTAAGGCACACAGAATCTCCTGTAAAAATCCTAGACAGCACTCTGTCAGGTCATATCCTCTTGTTTCCACAGGGCAGGAAGAGAACAATAGGAACATATTCATTAATACTTCCTTCCTCTCCCTCAACTCTCTACCATCTTAGCTAAGACTACTAATTTTTATTTTAATGCAACTTAGCAGTATTAGTTGGCATACTATTTTATGCTGTGTATGTTGCCTGCAATCAAATGTAAGTAAACATTTCTTTCCATTTATCTGTAGATGTATGGTTCATTCTCTGCAATGTGGGATGAAGAGGGGGAGGTCTTCCAATCCCAAATTTAATTCCTAATTACTAGTGCTGGGACCAGGAAGCTGCAAAACATCTGTGTCCTTACTCTGCTCAAAGGCTTCAGAGCCAGAGATACTTTTGAATTTCTCCCTCATATGTTGGACAGGAGGATTAGGTCTTAATCTACAGATTTAAACCACAGACCATCTCCATAAGAGCTGAGGCTCCACTTGAGACACCCAGAGGGACCTCCTAGGAGAGGAGAAGGAACAGAACCCTCTCCGGAGCCTCTGCCTAAGAAGAAGAGGGGAGCCTGGAGCCCAATCCAGCCCCACACCCAACCCTCCCTCTCCCCCTGGCACCCCACACTCACCTTTCTTGTTCTTCAGGTAAAGGGCGAGTCCAGTGGCCCCAAAGACCAGCCCCAGCACAATCCCCACAATCCCCGTCCACATCTTGCTCCTGGCAGAGTCCGACTGTGGCTCTGAAGGAAGAAAAAGCCCAGAGTGAGGAAAGGCAGGCATGGGATCAGCCCCCTGAGTGTAGCACCCTGCTTGTGGTTAACGCTTAGCTGGAATGAAATATTCAACGCAGCAATAGAGAAATTAAAATAATAATTTATTTGTCAGACAAATAAATGAGAGGCACAGTGGTATATGGTTACCAAGCTCTGGCCTGGCCTCCTGCCATTATGGCCAGCACTTATATTCCCTTAATCCAGCCCCCTTTGCTCCTCCTTTGGCTGCCTCTGTCCAATCAGCCTGGTTGGATTTCCTATTGGCTGATTGCTATAACCAATCCTAAAAGATACACCCATATCCTCCTGTCCTTATATGGAACACAAAGAGCTATATATTGTTACATCTATAAATGACAAATAAGTAGTAATATATCTTACATGTGTCTCAACAAGGAATCTTAATTACCAGCTCACCTCTTGCCCTCCTTGCCCTATTGCCTTCTAAAACAAATGGTTAATCTTAAATTTTTATCTTAAACATATGTCAAGGATCTTGAGTTTCACATCAACATTGAAAGATCTCCTTCATTTGAAGGTTTCTAAACAAATGTCTGACAGCTATATATCAGGACTGCTTGGATGGCGTCTCCTGTCTGGCAGGGGGGCTAGGCTGGTGGCTGACTTAATTTCAGGATAAATACAACTCTTACAACTATATGAAATAAGAATCTAGCATTTCTTAAATCCTTTGCATAATTACATTTAAGCCAATATTTAATACATAACATAGGTAGCATTTTAAAAGGAATAAGGCCTTTTTAAAGTAGAAAAAGGAACTCAGTAAAATACAGCTTCAAAAGAAGCCTCTTCAGTTTACACCCCCCTTTCAGCCAGCTGCTTTCCCCATTTATTGCCCTTCAACTCTCTCAGTTTAAGAAAGAAACAGCTTTTAAAAAAGACTTCCCAAAAATGCTCTCTTTCTGCCAGCTAGATGCTTCTCCATTTGGTCTTTAACCTTAGAAAGAAGATCTGGCTCATTTTACTGGGAGGCACATTGGTATTATTTTACTATTTACTCATTCCTAATTATGTTTATCTCTGCCTTTTTTATCTTCTGTAACATGTAGGGTCAGTGTCCTCGTTCTCAGTCTGTAATTCCAGCTTTTACGACTTTGAGAATTGTTTTCTGCTATAAATCAAGGGGCCCCTTGTCTAGGAGGAAAACATTGCCAGTGTTCTCTAAACAGCTAGTCTTCTTGCCTGGCATGAAACATTTGAAAATCTAAGCCCATTTAATTTAGGAACCTGATCAAGATATAAGCCAATATAAGTCTTGATTAAAAATGCAGTCTATATTCAGATGCCACATGAGGAGGGAGCAACCCATCTAGCCCCCCAGGAATGCCCCCCACTCCCAGTAGGAAGGCGTCCTACCCCATTTCACCGTGACGGGGCCTTCGAAGCTGGCGTGCTCCACCTGGCAGGTGTAGACGTCTCCACGTTCTGGCTTTGTCTCCAGCATCACCTCAATATGGAAGGTCCAGTCCCCGTTCCGGATGAGGTCCGTGGTCCACACTTTGGGCTCCTCCTTCCCGTTCCTGAACCACTTGATCTCGATCCCCGCAGGGAAGAAGCTGCCCACGGTGCAAATCAGCAGAGTGTTGTGTGGTGAAGATTCAATGTTGTCTGTGGGGGTGATTTTCACCTTGGGCTGGACTGTGGGAGGGAGGCAAGGGAGATGTGGAAGGAAGGTCAGAGATTTAGGCAGGGAGGGACCTGGAGGCTTCAAGGGAGGGAGGAGAGGCCATAGTTAACAGGGGAGGGGGGCTAGCCAGGGTGAAGCCTCTAGGGGGCGCAACTGAGGCTCCCAGCTTGCAGGGGGGGCCTTTCTCTGACCGCAGCCTTAAACTGCCTTTACTACTCAAAAGTCCCACTGAATTCAATGGAGCTTACTCCCAGGTAACTGTGTAAAGATTATGCAGTCTTATACTGCAATCAAGCATTTTTACTCAGAAGTAAGCCGCACTGAGTTCAGTAGGACTTACTCTCTGGTATGTACCTGATCATTATCACTGCCAACCTAGCAGTTCGAAAGCACGTCAAAGTGCAGGTAGATAAATAGGTACCGCTCTGGCAGGAAGGTAAACGGCGTTTCTGTGCCCTGCTCTGGTTCACCAGAAGCTGCTTAGTCATGCTGGCCACATGACCCGGAAGCTGTACGCAGACTCCCTCGGCCAGGAAAGCGAGATGAGCGCCGCAACCCCAGAGTCGGCCACATTGGACCTAATGGTCAGGGGTCCCTTTACCTTTACTTATGTGCCTGATCATTATCACAGTCTATTTTATTATTATTATTATTATATTATTATTATTATTATTAGTCATGATATTCCTTAGAATTCCTCAAATTATCTACTACTCTCTGAGGAGATCTACTTAAGGGTGAATGAAAGCCAGATACACACACAGACAATTTTACTATTTGGAGAGACTATTCTCTTCTCCAGCCTCTTTTTATGCCCTTTATGAACAAATGTGTCAAGTTTTGTGTGTGTATGCAAATACACATGGGGTGTGTGTGACAAAACTGGGTCTTTGCCCAGGTGACAGAAAGCCTAGGTTGCCCCCCCCCCGGAACAGTCAGTCAATCCTATGCTCCGAGCCTACAACTTCCCACTCCCACCAGTGGGATCTCTGACCCTCCCCCCAATCTACCCAAAGCCAGCCCAGTTTCCCCAGTGTCAGGCTGCGCATTCCGCAAACTGGAGGTTCCTGGGATGCCCCTCCCCTTCCTAGGACACTTTCCATCCTTCTGTCTCATTTCCCAGTCCTGGGAATCTCAGGAATTTGTCCTTCCTTTTTCCCTAGCAAACAGGATGATCTTCAGAATTCACTGCACAGTATCCTTCACTTAACACTACAATGGTCTCCTAAGTGTTTCCCAAACTTGGGTTGCCAACTCTTTCTGGACTACAATTCCCATCCTCCCTGACCACTGGTCCTGCTCGCTAGGGATGATGGGAATTGCACAAAGACAGCTGAGGTTCTTGTGCCTTTTAGAGCTGAGTGGAAGGCAGAAATTCAACAGGTTAAGCCCTTTTTCTCCTGTAGAAATGCAATTATTGGGAAAGCTTCACCTGTTCACATTGGGAAAGCTTCACCTGTCAGACATCTGTGTGTGTGTGTGTGTGTGAGAGAGAGAGAGAGAGAGACCTGAGAGAGAGAGAGAGAGACCTGAGAGAGAGAGAGAGAGAGAGAGAGAGAGACCTCCAATTTATTTATGGGCCCTTCCCTCCAACTGAAAAACAGCACATCAATTTGTGTGTGATATAGAGCAGAAATTATGCAAATCCACAAGCACCCCCCAAGTGATTATAGTAATTTTCCTTTCAATATACTTTTGATTTAGGGATGATCCCTGGAGAACGGGGGGGGGGGAGCTGGAGGGGAGCCTGGTGGCTGAAAACAGTAATGAGTGGGTGGGAAGGAAATGGACCATGTTTATAATAATAATTATTTAATCCTGAATGTGTGTGATTTTGAGATTGTGGGGTTAATTGCTAAACACCCCCCTCCCGATTTAAACACCTCGATTCCCTGGAAAACCTGGACATATGGCAGCCTGACCTGAATCCATGTCAGGAGTGCAAGAAATGACATGCTAAGGCGTCACAATTATTAATTGAGTGATGTCCGAATAACATCATTTTGTACTTTAATAATGTTCTGGGTTTCTGCTTGAAATGCGCTCTCTCTCCTCCCCCTGAAAGGTTGCCTATTCCCCCCAGCAGCCCCCCACTCTAATGTGGTCCAGCGTTGGACTGGGTCCTGGGTTCAAATCCCCCCTGGGCCTTGAGTCTCCTGGGTGTCCCTGGCCAGCCCCCCCCCAGCCTGGCCTCCCTCACAGGGTCGTTGTGGGGGTGGAGAGAGGAGAGGGAGAACCAGAGACAGCACAGGCAGGAAAGGAAGTTTAGGGAAGTTTATAATGTTCTATTGTGCTTTTAATTCTGTTGGGAGCCACCCAGAGTGGCTGGGGAAACCCAGCTAGATGGATGGGGTATTATTATTAATTATTATTATTAATAATAACATCATTACTTATATTATTATTGTTTGTTGTTGTTGTTATTTATTTATTTATTTGTTGTTGTTGTTGTTGTTGTTGTTGTTGTTGTTGTTGTTGTTGTTGTTGTTGTTATAAATACTGCAATTTTGTGTTGCAAGCTGCCCAGAGACCTACTGGTACAGTATAGGGCGGGATGCGAATTTAATTAATAATAAATAAGCTACGACAGACACCCTCCACATTGCAATACAGGAAACGGGTTATGTTGCTTCCAAGGACACATAAACTCCAGCATCTGCCTCTGGAGTGGGGCGTCACGAAAGGCCCCTCTTCCTCTCTGAACACGGGAGGGGAGGGAGCCGGGGGGCGGCAGCAGCGACAGGGGCTTCGGGGGGAAGTCACGTGTCCACCCCACCCATTTTGGGTTCCTCCTTGGGCCCCGTTTCCCATGACGCCCCCCCCCCTCCCCGATTCTGGACTCACCGCGCCGGGCCTGGAAGAAGGGATCGACGATCTCGTAGCTGACCCGGCAGAAGCGATCCACGTCGGCCATCTCGCTCCGCAGGACGTCCTTGTCCTGGTTCGCTCTCTTGACTTCGGGCTCCCCCAGTTCAGCCACAGCCACGAACTTCCCTCGGTCGCTGTCGAAGTAGAGGAGCTCCTGCCGGTCGAAGAAGTGCCTTTCTAGCATGCGGATCCGCTGCGTCCCGTTGGAGAAGTGGCACTCGGACCTCACCTGGAACAGGAAATGCTCTGCGGGGGGGGGGAGAAAATTGGGGGGAAATAGAGACTTCCGGTTCCCGGTTGCCTTAAGGGCGCAGTTCCCACGAAAGCGGAGAGTTGCAGCTGCTGGGCAGGAGAGAGATGGTCCATCTCTCTTTATTTAGTTAATTTATTTAAGGGGGGCAGCTGCTCCCTGCCCTCCGATGGCTACGCCCATGCTTATCTCCAGTTTCTTTAAAACAAAAACGTAAACCTCCCTCCCCCTTTTATTGCCCTCCGGCTGGAAGAAGAAATGTTGGGGTGGGAGAAAGACCAGGAAAGGGGCGAGTTGCCGAGGAGGGTGGGAGACGCGGAAGGGGGCTTCACTGCAACCCCCCCCCAACGAGATTCCTTCTACCGGGTAGACCCGGTTTCACTTTCGCTTTCCCTGCCAGAGCGCAGGAAGCGACGCCAGTCTGCGCAGGAGCCCATTTCAGCACCCAGAGGACCCCAAGGCGAGGGGGGGGCTGGGAGAGAGGGGACCTGCCGCGAGGGGGGGGGAGTTCAGGGTCCCCGGAGCAGGGAGCCATTTGCCCCACTTTCGCTGCTGCTCCATGGGCGTAGCCAAGGGGAACAGGGAGGGGCAGCTGCCCCCCATCAATAAAAATACATAGCAAACTGAGGTTCTGCCCCTCCCTAACAAAAATCCTGACTACGCGCTTGCCTTGGTTTCTTATTATTATTGAGAAAGAGCAGATGAAAGGTATATTTATGCCTTATGTGTAGTCCTTTATAGAGTTAATAATTGGTTATGGACTAATAATGATGAGGATGATTTTGAGAGGCAGGTGAAGGAGACCTCAGGGCCAGATTCAACTGCCCCCCCCCCGCAAAAAAGTCCCCTAGGGCTGCCTGCCATCAGCTGTCCTGCAGGAAGACTATTTAATGTGTGAATATTGTGGTTCTATTAAAATTAAATTGAATATTATTTGTAAGCTGCTGGGGTAGGATTTTAATCCTGAAAGGTGGGATATAATTAAATGCTTTCTCCTTCCCAGTCCAAGAAGCCTGAGCTGCTCTTTTTCAGTGGGGGGAGTGTTTCCCCTTCCCTCCTGCCCCTTTGCCCCCCGTGTCCTGGAAGAAGCAAAGATCCTCCGTGGGGAAGCAAGGATTCTGCAACATCAACTTCGCTGAACTAAACCATGTTGTTCGGACGCCTGGTTATCGCCTTCCAAAGCAGCTACTCTAGTCCTAACTTAAAAGCGGAAAGTGTAATGCTGGTGGTCAGCAAAAAAGGTTAAAATATTCTCTCAAGGCAAATCTAACAAAATGTAGTATAAACACCGACAACTGGGAAACACTGGACTGGACTGCAAGTGCTCGAATTGGAGAGCAGCCTTGACCAAAGGTGTCATGGGTTTTGAAGACACTCGAACTCAGGACACAAGGGAGAAACGTGCTAAGAGGAAGGGACGCTTGGCAAACCCTCAAGGGATCAATTCCCCCCCCCCAACCTCTGTCCCCACTGTGGAAGGACGTGGGGATCCAGAACTGGCCTCACAGTCACTTACGGACTCCCTGTTAAGATCATGGAAGACCATCTACCCGGGATCGTCAAAGGAGCCCCACCGATGGGGGTCCCGCTAAGCGGACTTTCCTCTTCCTTCTCCCCCCATTGCAGACTCTTTGCTCACCTGGAGGCGCCTCCCCGCCCAGCCCCTCCGAAGCGGAGACCACCAGCATCCCCAGCAGGAGCCCCCCAAAGGCCAAAGGCGCAGCGCCGGAGCCCCCCATCCTTCTTTCTTCTTCGCCCCCCAAGACTCCCAAATGGGACTTGCTCCGCTCAGCCCCGGGGGAAACTCCTGCAAAGCCCCGCCCACTCCACCTCTCCGCCCCGCGAGCGTCCAATCCGCCTCCGAGCCGAGGCAGCGTCATCGGTCGCCAGGCAGGGAACTCCTGGAAAGAGCATTATCAAGGGCTCTCTCTGCTCTCGCTCGACCTGCAAGTTCCTCTTTGCCTTCTCAGCTGCTTCTGATCTCTCCATTGGTGTTGCGTCGCGTGTGAATAAAGACCTTCCCCAGAAAACCTTTGCGGGGATATAAAGCTTAACAAGAATCTGTCAGTTCCCCCCCAAACTTTACTCTGGCAGCAAAAAGGGAAATTTCAGACTCAGGCTTCAAAACAGCGAGATGCGCTTTTCTTCTGCTGCGTTTTAAACCACTAAACCTTTGTTCCTTCTTGTATCCGGAAAGAGGAAGGAAGTTTCAAGGGGGGAATAAGTGTCTGCTGAGGGAGGGGGCTCCCCCTTTTCGACCCCCCAGCCTGCCTCCCTAGGAGACCTGGCAGCCCCCCAGTAAGGAGACCCCTCCCCCCAATAAAAGCCCCCTCCAGCCCCCAGCTCCCCTTTGCAAGAAACATCCCTGGCGCTGAAGTCTGAGAAGCCCCATGAAGAAACACACAGGGGGGAGACAGAGAGGAGCCCCCGCAGCCCCTTCCCTGGAAGAGACCCCTCCCCTCTTGGGGAGATCCAGCCCCCCACCCCAAATGCTGCTCTTTTCGCTCCGTCTCCGGCTGAGGCTCCTGCCTGGGGATGGTTTACCTGGAGACAGGCTGGTCATCGGCAGGGCGCTTTCTCATTGGCCGAGCTGGCAGGGACTTTTCTGCTCCGCCAAAGCCGCCCCCTGGCCGCCCCCGCCCCACAGCCACTTGGAGGGCGAGCATCCAGGAGGAAGGGGCAAGGGACACTTGGGCTTGAGTCGCCCCTCGCCCGCCTCGGCCCAGGAAGAGCTGCAGAGATGGAGCCCAGAGGAGGAAGAGGAGGAGGAGGAGGAAGAGCCCTTTGCTGCCTCTGGGCGACCCTCCTCCTCGCCCCGCCAAGGGGAGCCGGAGCCCTGAAAGGTCGGGGGGCGCAGAGGGAGGGAGGGGGAGATGTCTGGGGAGGGGTCCCAGGAGGGGGGCTAGGGGATATGGGGAGAAGGATTGCGCCCCTGGGCGTTGCTTGTGGGCAAAGGAGGAGGGGTCTCTTGGGCTACAGGGAGGAGAAGCCCCCTCCCCCTGACAGGTGCAGAAGCTGCACCCGGGAATACGGAGGGATGGGGGGAGGAAGGGAATTGGACGCCCCCCCCCCCAGGAAAGAGTGCTGGGAGGTGCGTGGAATGGGAGGATGACGGGCAAGGAGGATTTGCTCCCTCAAATAAGGTGGTCTAAAAAAGAGAGAGGGGAAAACGGGGTGAAAACAGCATTTCCCCCCCTACACACACCAACTTAGAAGATCGGAGTCTGTGCCCCCAGCCTTTCCTGTTACAAGGAGAGAAAGGGAAATAAAACAAGAATTATTATTCCTCTCTCTGGGCTCGGCTGCCACAGTACCTGCCTGGTCCGGAAGTCCCCAGTGTTGTCCCCCAAAAGCCATCAGCCCCCCCCATAGCCCCCGAAGACAGAGTGGTTTCTCTCCTGGCACAAAAGGGGCCAGAACCTGCTCTCTTCGGCTGCCCCCCATATCGCCACTTGCCTGGCAGGGAACCCAGCCGGACACAAAGGGACTTCACTCCCGAGAAGACGCGGTTTAGTTTGAGTGAGTGAGTGAACTCCACAAGGAAGTCGCTTCAGGAAAGGAAAGAGGCGCATGGCCAATGGCTCCGTCTGTGTGTCCAGCAGATTTATCTCTTTTAGAAATAAGCCCAAAGCTTTAATTCGTGGCGTGAGGCAACTCAAGGGGTGAGTGTGGATGATCTACAGTTGAAAGAGGAAATACATTTATTATTGGTTTCACTTTGGCGCAAGGAGGAAAGTGGAGATCTAGGCACATGGAGGCATGTATTGTTCTCTTGAATGATTATTCCAACTTTCTACCAGTCACCTTGGAAATGAGGAGATTTTAAAACTGACATATGTGTGTGTTTGGGAGCAGATGAAGCCCCCCTCCATCTTCTTAGAGAGCCTTCCTGGTGGTGGCCCCATTCCTAGCAATGTGGAGGTTCTCCCTCATCCTGCTGCGTGGTCCTAAAGCCCCCCTTCCCTCCCCTGCAGTGGAGGACACCCTGGTGGAGCTGGACTTCTTCCAGGAGAGCTTCCCTTCGGAGAAGAAGTCCGGGGAGTTCCTGCTGGAGTTTGACAACGAGGAGATCCTGCACGTGGACTGGGAGAAGAAGCAGAACGTCTGGAGGCTCCCGGACTTCCAGCGCTTCACCAGCTTCGAGGTGCAGGGCGCCCTGGCCAACATCGCCGTCATGAAGAACAACATGGAGGTGCTCATGAAGCGAAGCAACCGCACCCGTGCCCTGAACGGTAGGACACGCGAGGGGGGCAGGGGAGAGAGCTGGGGGGCAGGCAGGGGGTGGTCTCTTGGCTTCTGACCCGGAAGATCCTTCAGGACCCCTTTATGCCTCCCCAGAGGGAATTCTGCTCCAGGGAGCCAGTCCTTGGCTGACGGAGACAGGCTAAAGGGAAGGGAAGCCTGACGGGAGGGGCAGCACTGCACTCTGTACAAGCTCAGAGGCATTCCTGAACCTGAACATCCGGTGCAGAAATACCCACAGCAGTTAATGTAGGGCACATGGTGTGGGAGATTTTGCAGTCATTTCTAACAATGCATATTCTTGCTAGTTAGCAGGTGAAGGGGTCAAGTCCACAGAGCTGTCCTGGTGATAGAGGGACTCAGACCATAGAAATGTAATTGGTAGAGAGGAATTTGGGTGATGTTATTTCCCCCTGCCTGGGGAGGAAGGAGAAAGTAGTATTTTCTTCTCTCTCTTCCTTTGACCAATGATGGAAGCAGACAGCCCCCCCCCCACTTGCTCCAAATTCAGGCACATACCTGAAGTTGTTTTTTGCTGTAAATGCAAATATTTTCTCTGTGTTGTTTTAATGCTGTTGGTGCTGAGGATGAATGCTTGACTGTGAACAAATATATATTTTAAACTTACTTTTCAGCCTGTAGCCTGTTTCTTTGATAAACTAGAGACACAAAGGGGGAGATCAGCGTAACAGCTAATTGCTATGCTTTCCATTTCTAGACTGCTTCAAATGGGTTTTAATCCCATTTCTTTCTCCATCTCCTTCCTCAGTTGCTCCTACGGCCACTGTGTACCCAGAAAATGCCGTGGAACTGGGGGACCCCAACGTCCTCATCTGCTTTGTGGACAGGTTCTCCCCCCCAGTGCTGAACGTCACCTGGCTGAAGAACAACGAGGAGGTCTCCAAGGGCGTGGAGGAGACAGACTTCTACCCCAGCGTGGACAACACTTTCCGCAAGTTCTCCTACCTCCCCTTCGTCCCTCAGCAGGGAGACATCTACGTCTGCCAGGTGGAGCACTGGGGCATCCCAGAGGGAAAGATGGAGAAGATCTGGGGTAAGCACCGGGCAGGATTGGGGCTTTTCTCTGGGGCTTGAACTCAGAAACCCAGATTCATGGCTTATAAGAAACAAGTTCTGAAGATCAGAGTAATTTATACAGGTGAAGTACACTTGCAGTTTTGAATAATTTATTCCTCTTGAGGTAGTTTCTCTCAGTTTAACTTAAAAGTGTATATTAAGATCTGTGGGGCAGGTGTGTCAGGACTCCTGGGTTCTTTCTTTTCCTGAACACACACAGAGAAACAGAGTCCCCCCTTAGCCCTGTCCCCTCTCTCTCCATTCCAGTTTCCAAGGCGCCCTCTCCCATCCCGGAGACGATGGAGAACGTGCTGTGTGCCCTGGGCTTGGCCTTTGGCATCCTGGGCATCATCGCTGGCACCATCCTTTTCTTCAAGGCCATGAGGATGAACGATCGCAGGGGCTTCATGTGAGTCAAACCCGGTTCCCTTCATGGGCTGTGAGATAAATGCAAGGGAAGCCAAAATACACAGCAAAGGGGTGGGGTGGGCCTCATCCTGCCCAGAAGGTGCTCAGCCTCAATACTCCCAGCTCACCAGCTCCCTTCTCCTTCCTTTTCAGATAATGGGGGATTCCTTTCCTGACAGCCTCTTCCTTAAACCCTCTCAGCTCAGCTCCTTTGCCAGGAGTCTCTTCTGCTGGAAGGAGTTGCTTCCTCCGTGTGCAGCTTATCCATAGAAGCTTTCCTGATAATATGTTTAGCTTTTAAGAACAATTATGATAGCCAAAGATGCTTAGGCAGACTTACATTACTTTTCTCCCTTTTATGTTTCCCTCTTAAGAAAGAAATTGCTCTGACTGTTTAAGTAAATAAGAAAAGTATATGGTTTACTCACATTATAAGTCTTGCCATGGTTCAACATTTACAGCTCCCTCTATGCAGGTTCTGAAACTCCCTGGTGCCTTTGCTTCTGGCTGCCGAGTAATCGTGCATTTTATAGAATCATAGAATTGTAGAGTTGGAAGGGACCCTAAGGGTCATCTAGTCCAGCCCCTGCATTACAGGAATCTCACCTAAATCATCTCTGACAGAGGAGCTTGTGGTTTGGGTGCCGATCCTCCCCCAAACACCATGGTTGAGTCAGGATAGTTTTCTGTGGGGGTTTCCTGCTTTGCCTCACCTTGCATCTGCATGGCTCAAGGAGACCCCCTGCCAACAGAGGGTCAGACATACTAATTCATATCTCCACCCCACTTACCCAAAACCATTCACCTCCCTCTCCAGTTTTTGGAGAGAGCCTTACTCAGTTCCGTGCATTGCACTGCAGGAATACACCCCTCAGGTGTTTCCTTAATCACGAAGAGGATTCATCCAGCTTGTTGGGGAAGTTTAGTTGTGAAGAGACCCCAAACACCTTTCTTGTCCACATAAAGCAGGGTTGTATCTGTCCGTGTAGAGAAAAATATCTCTTCTTCTGCAAAACTCTCCCAATGGGTTC